CCTGGCAGTGTTGAAGGGCAGGTTGGATGGGGCTTGGAGCAACCTGGGCTGGTGGGAGGTGTCCCTGCCCATGCAGGGGGCTGGATCTAGATCATCTCTTAAAAGTCCCTTCCAACCCAAACCAGTCTGTGATCCTAGGAGAGTGACTGCACACGTGGGCTGAGCCAAACACCCCCAGTCACCCAGTGACAGCCACACAGGCCAAAGAGCCCTGCAGATCAGGCAGTGAGTGCCATGAAAGCCCCAGGCAGGGGGGAATGTGAGACTCACAGCGCTGGGCTGGGAGCCCTGAGCTCCAAACCCACAGGCCAGGACCCGTTGTTTGGCAGCAGGGGAAAGCAGGAGCAGCGGTGGCTTTGGCAGGGCACAGCACCCAGAGCTGGGCAACGAGGGGGCTCCTAGCCACAGGCTGTGTGGTACAGCCTGCCCATCAGCCCAGCCACAGGTAAAATAAAGAGATTTTAATGATAAAGTATATGATGCTTTCTATACTTCAAACAAGGTAGATACCTAATATCACCAGTTATTCCTCTGCTTCCAAAATGAATTATTCAGTGGAATGAGTTATCTTACTGATTGGAAGCACGTTGCTTTGTCATGCAGGTGCATTAACTGCATGACTTTCACACTGAGGATGCTCAGCAGGTGGAGACCTTGGGTGCTGGACAATTAACGAGCCCAGATTCTGTCATTACCTGCATTCACTCTCGGATTGCAGATGGGACACAGGTAATCCACATGTACTGAAATGGCTGGTAACAGGATTCTAGGTCGACATTCACCAAATGTCATCCTTTTGAGTCATGACACGTCGATGCACTGAGCAAGAAGCTCAAGGGCATCATCAAGAATTAAGTCATCAGAAGGAATTAAGTCATGAAGTGAAGCATCAGCTGCATCAATTACAGGGATTGAGAAACGGCACCAGCATAAAACTGCACTGTAAAGACATGCCAGGAGTTACAACATCCAGCCTCTTGCACATCTAGCTATTGTTATGGCTGCCTTTGGGAAAAAAAACAAAGGGAATTTCTGGATACATGGAAAAGATCAAAAAAGAGAAAAGCCTTTTGTGTAAGGTGCAAGAAAATACCCAGCTCCAAGAAGGAAGATTCTCGGTCTGGTGGCATGAACGTAAATGAAATTCTAACCTCTGTATTGGGTTACTGGTGTTTTGCAACAGTCTCCACACCAAACACCATGTAAAAACCAGAATTAGGTCCTGTAACTCCACGTTTACTGTCCTCTCATGCCTGGGACAAAGCCTCCTGCACCAGACACTGGATGGGCACCACAGCCACACTGCCCCTGTGGCCAGGTACTTTTCCAGCACACACAAAGCCCTTCACACAGATGTTTTAAAACCACTTCACAACCATTAAAACCACTGTTCTGGTGAGGATAAGCAGGTGGTGTTACCAGGAGGCACAGAGAAGCTTGTTTAAAATAGCAAGACGCAACCCCTGCCATTTCCCCTGGGCTTTTTTTTCCCCCTGAACCTTGTGGTGGGTTATACCACGGGGGTGGAGGAAACTGTGCCTGGCAGAAGAATCCTGCAGCAAACCAGGCTTGGGGTGGTCCCAGGGCAGGAGAGAAGGCTCAGCACCATCCCTGCTCCTGCCACAGCACCTGCTGTGGGTGCCACAGCTGCCTTGAAAGACCATCACCCTTTCTCCTTTCCTAGTTTGTAGGATATTGTCCAGCAACAGGATGCCCAGCGACTGCCCATCTCGGGCTCAGAGCTCTCTGTCTCCACAGATTTAGCCACAGCGTTGTGTCGTGGCTTCACCAAGCTGACCCAAGGACAACCCCACAGCCTTCCTCCCCCAGGAACTGCAACAAACACCCTCAGCTCCGGGGTTTCAGCTCCACACAGGAGCCTGCGCGGGGCTGCCGTGCCCTCTGCCGGCCCCGCAGGGCTCCCC